GAATAAAGCGGGAATTATACATATACATTGTTTTATATATTTAGAATTTAACCATAAAATTTATGAAAGAATTAAATTTTCATTATATTTATATTTAGTTTATTAATGTTAAAATTTTAATATTCGTATATAATTATAAAATTATTATAATATTATACCATTTTTATATCATTTATTGATTCACGTAATATAATAAGTTAGGCTGAATTAAAGTGTAATTACCATAAGTATTGAAGAGCGCACAAAATGTTCATTACTTAAACAAAAAATATTTTGCTAACATTAAAAAATGGATACATTCGAGATAGTTAATAAATTTGAAATGTTACAATTTTATATCTCTTATATATTTTCTCTTATATATTTATTACACAAAAATATAAATATTATCATTAACAATAATAAATAGTTCTCAATCAATATACTCGTATATAAGTCAATTTCTTGTTCTATCTTTCATTGATCTATGTATAAGGTTGTTCAAATCTGTATACTAATATTTGTTAATAAGTATCCTTAGATTCTTTCTAATTAATGTTATATTTGAAAAATATTCATAATTAAAAATAATAAAAAGTTATTTAGGACAAATGAAAAAATATTCAAAAAAGTATTAAGAAATTCTCGCGTTGTTATTTAAAAATCATTGTAGAATAAAAATAACCAGTTTTTCTCTCAAAAGCAGTGACTGGAAAGAATGATTTTTCTTACAAACAACTAGATACCTATGAGTCTGACAGATATAAGATTGATACGTGTCTTCCATCAATATAAATATCACGATTTCTCAATTATTTCATATTCATTTTGATGGTTAATAAATATATCGATTAAATTTCATCAACTCCTTAACTGTCGTCTAAAATAAATTTCAAATCTTATATTTAATGAGTGTAAACAACTTATTACAAATTATATCATACAGAAAATTGATTAATAAATTAATATCATGTATATACATATGATTATATATAATATTTTACAATGATAATAAATAATTAAAGTCAAACTCAAGTCAATGGTAATTAAAAATAAATAAATCATTACACTTACTTTTTTTATTAAATATTATTAACATTAATAACAAAAGAAACATTAAAAAAACGATTCATACATAAAGTATTAAAATAAATATCTGATATATAAATTTTTTTATTAATCATTTAAAAAATATATTTATAGTCAATTTTTTTTTTTTACGTCAATTAAAATACACCAAATTTAATTCACTATTTCGAATTATAAAATATGAAATATATAAAATATTTATATTAAATAAATAAATAATTATATCGCACATTTACAATTAAAAAATAAGATGATATCTAATACTTTCAATCTTCTTATGTATGGATATTAAATATTTTTTATAAATTATCTTTAAGAGTAAAAACTTAAATACATTTTTTAATGATCTATCCGCATCAGTAATTTACTTGTAACTATTAATAAACGTGACATTCGACAGAACTTCAATTTACAGTCTACTGTATTCAAAGACCGTGAAAAAACAACCGACATATTTCGTTTTAATTCGACAATCAACGGAATATATTATCCTGCAAATCGATCACTGAGATAAACAAGTCGAAAAGCTCCTCTCTCTGCATCTCCATGTACGTTCCTATGCGGCTTAAACGCCGATTTCATAAATTTCCCATCGAAAGCGGCTTTCCGCTTTTCGCGATTCACTTTTACACAAACTGCTGTGAGTAACGAATCTTTCTATTTTCCGCAGTTTTTATGCATGAAAAGCCAGGAAAGTTCCCCCAGGGATTTTATACAAATGTTAAATGAATGGAACGCTCTTTTACAGAACCAAATGCTCAATCGATGTTTAGAGGTACGTAAAACTTCAAGAGTAAAATTTGTTTAGATTAAGCTTTAAAAAAGAATTCTTAATATTAAAATGATACTTTGAATTATATTTTGTATCTTATATTAAAATCGTTGCTCTATTATTGTACATTGCATTAAATTTAGAATTATTATAAATAATAAATACGAAGTACTACTAATCCAAGATATTGATATTGATTCGTATATATATAATGATATAAATATACATCCTTATATATTTCGCAATTAAGATATACTTAAGTCACATATTTGAACTTAAATATATACTAACAAAGGTAAAAAAAGAATATTAAGAGAATCGGGCACGCTTTTTTTCTTAGTTATAAATATAGATTATATTTAGCATTTAAAAAAAATATTTGTTAATTTGAAAAAGTAATTAGTAATCATAAGCATTTGATTATTATCAAATAATATATATTATAAATGAAATAAAATAAAATAAGATAATATATATATTTTTATAAAATAAATTATAGTATTTTTGTATCTTGACTTTCTATAAATATTTAGTCAAATATAAATCTAAGTATTCAAATTATATGTCATTAACTCTGTGAATCTAATGGGATGAAATTTAATAATCTCTGAGCTCATTTCATTTTCTATGTAAAAACATGCTATGCAAAAAATCAAAACTTTTATAATTTATTTATATAGTTACTTAATTAAATGAATTATTATTAATTGTATTTGAAATTTGTTTAATGACTATAATTGTTTTATTACTCAACTTATCAAAAAACACATTGAAATATAATATTTTTTCTAAGTTTCTTTAATAAACTAGTATTTTCATAGCAGTTGTAACAATCTAAATATATTGTATTTTAGTAAAATAATAAAAAAATTATGTACTTTAATTAAATAATGTCTAGAATATATTTCATATTATCACAATAAAAAATAATTCATCCTTTCATGCTCTTGATAATAAAAGATCATATAAAAAAATAAAATGAAATTATTACTATTTTGTTTGTATCATCTTTTATAAAAACTTTAATATACTTCTGTTTAATAAATAAAAATGACAACTTCTTTATAGTTAAATTAACTTTAACTTGATCAAATATTCAAGAAAAAATAATTATTATTCTTTACAATACTAGTCATCCAGTAGTCGAAGGACCAAGATGGTTGGATTAGACTATGGCCACCAGTTTACTAGTTGGAGACAAGTGAGGATAAGTGGAAGCGATAGTGCTTCTATTCAGTAATTAACAGATCTATTTTTCGTGCTGTTTATTGTATTTCTTTCGCAATTAGATCACAATGATTCTATGTCGATAATGCGAGTCGTCAAGATTTTACAGTTCCTTGGTGGTTTCTACGTGGTGGTAGCATGCACTACATGTCGAGGTAGGAAGCCACAAATCTCCGGATCCTCTAGTTGTCGTGCGATTGGTGCCAGGTTACTACACTGAGAAGTGAGGTGTCGTAAATTCTTGACACATGACAAAAAGACGAATTGGTTCAGTCCTCAATATGACACTGAGTGAGAGTGTGAGGTGGTACCGATTGATAGGGATTGCGATGTAGTGCCGAGCAATAGTGGGAGTTGGCAATTGTGATTACCTGCAAATGCCTTGTACACTTGGGCTTACTGTTTGCGGTTTGAGAAAGAGAGAGTGCTCTCGCATGATGTTTGAGATTCCTTTAATCCGTAATAGTGGATGTTGCTACAATATTCTTCCAGCACTTTCTCCTTGCAGTTGTAGTTGTACAAATTGACAGTGTGTTCTCTCCTTGGCGTCTCAGATAACAGTAGCTCGTTGAATACGCACACGAAGCTAAAGATGTGTTCATTCCGTGGGAGAGAGAGAGAGAGAGTGAGAGTGAGCGCCTGTTCCATGGTGATCCCACTAAAACAGAGCGTGTTCCGTGTCATGGCGTCTTCACTAAGAGAGAGCGCGACTCTGCGCGTGCTTGCTTAATATATCCACGCGACAGTTTAGTTAGCTGACAACAATGGACAGGTGTTGCTATGCGGAAAACATTGCAGGACATTCGAGAATAAAGTTTTAAAAGTTTCTAGACCTCCGGAAAAGCAAAGCTTTAGAAGGTTGGAGAATTTCAGCTACAATATAAAGCAAAGGCTTTAGAATGCTCGAAAAATTTCGGGATCAATCTTTACGATTTCGCGAGCTAGAAGGATTATAAAATTCCAAAAGCGAAAGGTCTTGGAAAGTGCCTCAATCCTGACCATTCCGCCGGCTATCGGCAATTTTAATGATGAGTATTTCCTTCCTCGGGAATTTCTGGTACTGCAAGCTCGACGTACCGGGAACGTAATTCCAGTGAGTATCTGATGTAATATCCTGAATCGAGTGCCCTTTGTCTCATAAGTCTTTTCAGCTCGATACATGAGACTTGATCCATGTAAGAGTTACCAGAGAATCTGTCCATAAGGGTCTTGCTTTACCTGATGGACGTGAAGTGCTGATCTGTATCTGCAATCACTTCGTGCGCTCAGGCACTTAGTATGAGCAAATACGCGGTGGCACTGAATCCTTGAGAAAGTACGCGTTGCCACTGAGTATGAGAAAGTGCTTGGTGGCACTGAAACCTTGAGAAAGTGCGCGGTGGCGCTGAGTATGAGAAAGACATCCTTGGCGTTTCCAGTAAGAGAGCGTCCGTTCTGAGTCGTTTGGTGATGGGGTCAGTTTCAACCGAGACTGTTGTTGAAAATTTGAATATATTCTCATCTGGACTTCACTATAATTTGAGTAATTTGGATGTGCAATCGTCAAATGTAATTGTTAACTCCTGTTTTTTTATTGCATTAATAGAGATGTGGACCTCTCATCGTGTTGAGTACCATTTTGTCAATGAGAAACCGCCTGCCAAGCAGAGGCGTTGAAGTGCTGTTTCGATTAGCTGCTTCGGTGTATCCGCACCTCTAAAGATGTAATCGACATATATGGCATGAGTAATGAATGGCACAGCCAAAGGGAATTTTTCTCCTTCGTCTTCTACTAATTGCAGTAATGTTTTGCCATAGGTGTTTGTTGTTAAATGAAATAGCACTTCCTTGTGTTGTTCGTCGATCCAGAAGATTTTTTGCAGGTCCCAGTCGTTCTTATGAAATATTATCTGCCTATACATTTTTTTATGTCTGTGGTGAACAGATGTCAATGTCAGCGTATCCAGATTAACACGTCTGAACTTTCTGGATTCAAATTGCCACCAGTGTGCATAATGTTATTAATGGAGTGTCCAGAAGTAGATACACTGGAACCGTTGAGCACAATTCTTAACCCTATGGTCGCACTATCTGGTTCAAGTATGCTGTGATGTAGCAGATAGTAGTGAGTTTGATGATGGGACACCGAAGAAGCTCTCTTCATGTGCTTAAGTTCCTCATATTCCGTAATGAATTGTTGATAGTGTTGACAATAATTGCCGTCCTTTGAGAATCGTCTTATTAAACTTTGCAGATATCGATGTACAGTGTTTTGAGAATCTCCGAGGATCTCAACAGATGTCTTTAGTGGAATCCGGACAATGTGTCTCCCAGTTGAGTCACGTGAATGAGTTTTTTTTAAACGATCCTCACAATACTGCTCATCATACGTGTATAGATGATTATCGCTGTTTGGCACTTCTTCTTGCACCCAAAATCTTGTCAAAGTATCCTCTGCATTCTGTGTTGACGTGTGAAGTGCTACTAATGTCAAACTGTTTGTCAAATTGACAGTTCCAATTACTAATAATCCAAAAATGGACAGTTGCGCTATTGGCACAGATGAAGAATAATTGATAATGTTGGACTTTATTATTTGTCCATATGCGTCTGCTTCAAAAACAATGTCCACCGGTCTTGATATTCTGGATCGGCTAGTGTAATGTTTCTCAGATGCAGTCATGTCTGACGTGAAGTTTCAATGAATGGAAGTGTTGTGGTCAATGTGTTTAGGATGTGAGCTTGAATGGTGACGGTGGAGTTAGAATGATTTGATTAAAGGGTGAGTGAAACAGCACCTTGTGACTGAGCTGATAAAAATTCTTCTATTCCATGGATAAGGATGACGTTGACGAGATATATTAAGCTTTCTAACTAAATTCTCGGTTACGAACGTGATTTCAGAGCCTATGTCGAATAGAAGATGAGCTTGTACCGTTGCCGATGGTGAGCTTATTTTTGCCAATGCAGTAGCCAACACGATTTTCATAGATAATGGACTAGGTGGAGTGACGATTGCACCTTCAATTCATTAAGATTGTGTTGATGAACTGCTGCTTGCTTTAATTGGAGTTGAGAATTGTTCGTTGTAGTAGTGTGTAACGCAGCCTTTCGCATTTCTGGCACTTGTAATTGTTTCTGCAATCGTAAATGGAGTGATGCCCCAAGCAATTGAAATACAGTCGCAGTTTCGTCGCGAGGTCCCTTCTTTCCGAAATTAACATTTCGTTGAACGTCAGGCATGCGGTGAAAAAATGTAGTTGTTGGTAGCAGTCGCACACGTTGTTGTGTTTTGGGTTTTCTTGTGGGCCATTCAATATAGTTTTTAAGGACGATTGGTAAGCTCTCATCGATCTTCTTTTCGGTGAATGGGACTGGACTGACCTTTTTAATACCGTGAGTTTCTCTATGTATTCAAGAGCCCTTATTCGAAAAATTAAGAATGTTTTGAGTTGCTCAAACTTCGCGTAGGAAGTGGAGTTGCTAAGTGAGCTTTTCCACTGCTCCTTTGTGCGTTGATTAAGTTATGTGACTTGGTGGACGGTCATGCAGTTCAATGCAGCGGTTGTGATATCTAACAAATTCAATCTTTTTAACAAGTCATTTACATCACAATCATCTTGTGCTGTACCCTTAATTTTTATTGAATAGGAAAGTAATTGTTGAGATGAGATTTGATAGACAGCCTTGTTTTGATATTGCTTTGTTAGAGTCTCCCATGCCAATGCAAGCGAGTCATTTTTTAATGAAAAATTAGATATAACTTTTGCTGCCGAGCCTTCTAGTGATAAACGGAGGTAATTTGTACCTCACTGAGCTTATTGTCTTTCAGGATTATTGATTCAAACAGGTCTCAGAATGTAGGCCATGCTAACATGACAAAGAGACGACACATAACAAGGAGACGATTTCGTTCAATCCTCAATATGACACTGAGTGAGAGTGTGAGGTGGTACCGATTGATAGGGATTGCGATGTAGTGCCGAGCAATAGTGGGAGTTGGCAATTGTGATTACCTGCAAATGCCTTGTACACTTGGGCTTACTGTTTGCGGTTTGAGAAAGAGAGAGTGCTCTCGCATGATGTTTGAGATTCCTTTAATCCGTAATAGTGGATGTTGCTACAATATTCTTCCAGCACTTTCTCCTTGCAGTTGTAGTTGCACAAATTGACAGTGTGTTCTCTCCTTGGCGTCTCAGATAACAGTAGCTCGTTGAATACGCACACGAAGCTAAAGATGTGTTCATTCCGTGGGAGAGAGAGCGAGAGAGTGAGAGTGAGCGCCTGTTCCATGGTGATCCCACTAAAACAGAGCGTGTTCCGTGTCATGGCGTCTTCACTAAGAGAGAGCGCGACTCTGCGCGTGCTTGCTTAATATATCCACGCGACAGTTTAGTTAGCTGACAACAATGGACAGGTGTTGCTATGCGGAAAACATTGCAGGACATTCGAGAATAAAGTTTTAAAAGTTTCTAGACCTCCGGAAAAGCAAAGCTTTAGAATACTTTAGAAATTTCAGAATCAATCTTTAGATTTCGCGAGCTGGAAAGTGCTTCAATCCTCAACAATTATTAATTAACGATTCAAGCAGATCATTGATATACTCTATTTACAAGATTCACAGTTCGAGTTCATTTTAATTATAAAATAAATCATCTATTGAATTTTCTTATAATAATATTGTATACCTTTTTATCATAAATTGTTTATGTATCGAGAGATCGATTTATCTATACTTACGCTATAGAAGCACGATATATGAAAAAGATGGTATACACGATAACATGTGCACGTAAAAAAAATGTTTGACAGCATGATATTGTACGTAAATTATGAATTTGTAAACTTGCATTTATAATAAATTCTATCATAGTATATTATTATTGAATCAATTTAATTCATCATGAGTCACAATGATGTCAATGATATGTGTATAAATTTTCTAAAAATTTGAGAAATTGGAAAATTGACTTATAATTAATAAATAACTACTAATTCGAAAAAAAGATTTACTCTTTAAAAATGTAAGAAGTGAGATTTAATTTTGAATAATTTTAAAATTATAAAATAAATATATATTTTCATATCATTAGTTATAACTTGATAAATGTTCTTTATTTTTTTAAATTGGTGAAAATAAATAAAGTTTTTATTGAAAAGAAAAAATAAATTTATATTAAAAATAATTATTTACTTGATAAAAAATTTATAAATATCAATATCAATTATTTTTATTATTAATTATTCTTATATCATAATATATTTATTAATATAAATATCTCATTATGAAAACAAGTTTTACAAATTCATTTCTCCGTACAGATTTTAAATTATTGATGATTATAAGAGAAATTTGCAAATATAATTTATTTTTCATAATAAATATCAATTGAAAAGATACAGTCATTATATATATAAATTTAATTCTTCCATGTAAATTATAAATCTTTATAAATAATGAAAACTATAAAAAAGTATGTACATGAATTCTACTTACACATAAAATATACGTATAAAAAACTAAAATCGAGCACTCAAAAAGTTCACACTTTCGTTTAATGTTTCTCTTCTATTTTCACTCATCTACTCGTCCTAGCCTTCAATGATTTATTTTTCCGCCTTATCTTTTTCATAAGTGACGAACTTACTTGTCTTTATTTTTACCTCATTTTGGACATTCTTTTTTGCAGGTAGTTTCCTTCCCGACCCTTTGAAAAGTCATAAGCGCTAGTAATACGTCTACAAGAGCCTGAGCTCATCAATCACCACGACTAGTGCACGTTTATTTTAAGTCGCGCAGGGCTTTTTAATACACGGGTCATTACTACTCATATAATCACATGCGCATGAAATTTCAAGCATAACTATTATATTTGCAAAAAAAACGACGAAAGAAGAAGCAAGGTATATACGTATCTACGAATTATTATAGAAAGTCTGTTGATGCATTACTCATATCCGTATAAATGTATATACGAATTGCTTCGAATATTATTAAATAATACAGCACATTATATGTAGAATTCTCTGTAACAATTTTTTTTATTGTGTTGTGAAATATACAAGTTACTCGACAATTATAGTAAGTTTTTTATGATTATGTTAATTTTATAATTAATTTTTTTTATAATTATGTCAGTATTATATTATTAAATCTTATTAGTTATTTCTTGAATTATTTTGAATGGGTTATTCGACTCAACTGATATAGTGAAAAAAATGAAATAGTAGCTTTTTTTCTATTTTTAAAAATAAATGATATTTGTCATAAGTAACGTGAATAGGAAAATATTGATAGTATACTTTAAATTCATGTTAAAAATTCAAATTACATAAATATTTCCTTAATTGTTACATACGGATAAATTCTTTAAAATGAGATAATGATTTGTAAATAAATAAATATTCATTTATATAATAAAACTAAATATATGTACTTAAATAAATTACATTTAAAACATCTATAATTTAAAGTATCTACTGATGTTTTCAAATACATTTGTATTCGTCATAATTAATTTTATTATTAAAAATAATATTGATAGCTTTATAAACTATTATATTCACAACAAGAAAGTAAAAATATATTAGTAATATCCATTAGAACATTTAAAGATTAAGATAATACAAAATTAATATCAAATTCAGAATTTGGAGTCTTGACAATTATTAGATAAAAACTATGTACACTCACATAAAAAACTATTATCTCTCTATACCTTTAACCGAACTTTTATACTCGTCATTTATATCTTGACTCGCTGTGAAGTATCTCGATTAAGAATGATCCGCATCGTCTCACATTTTAGGGGCGCCAGTGCAACTTCCGGCGTATTTTGCTGCTTAGAACACAGAACTGGATTCGTCAACGTAACGATCTCACTGACACGCAGCTTCCTTTTCAACAGAATCCAAAAAGGGAAAGATAGATTCAAGTGATGTCTTGTTTCTTTCTCGCTTCGTCTTCTGTTTCACTTCCTCCTTCCTCACCACTGTCATTTCTTGACTACCCATTTCTTAACAGAAGAAGTAGAAGGAACGAGGAAGAGAGAAGGAGGACAAGATCGTTAGGGTCACACGCTCTCGGATCTTAGAAATTTTAATGAATCGCACCCTAATTATTTATAATTTATAGCTACGTGCGCTTAAAATTTTCAACGGCACAACGCAAATGAAATTTGTCCCGCATTATTAGCAAGTTAAGGATTGATGAATGCATTGCTTTACTGCTGCAAATACTAAATAGACTTTAAGAAAATTAAAGGATGAAACGAATATTTGTGCTTACTTTAAATTTTAGAAAAGTTTTACAACATTATTATTATTATTTAGTTCAAAGTATTTTAGTATCATTCGATGATATAAATCTAATTTAAATACTTAATAAACCTTAAATACTTTTTCATTTTCATATTTGTTATTCATTTTTCAAAATTATATGAGTTAAAAGCTTTAAATACAGATACATTTATAGACAAAGATAATTAAATTTTTGTAATTTATTCGTAAATGAATAAAAATAAATAATGGGTGAGTTAAAATCTTCAACTGGTATAATAAAAAATATTTATTCGCATCTATTTAAAAGCTATATTACGGAAGCTCATTTAGTAGGCCTTAAATAATTTTAAATTACCTTTAAAAATAATCTCAAGCACCTAACTCTCGCGATAAATATCGACT